AATCTCCATGTCTTATAACACTATTAGTCAGCATATACATGTCTTGAGAAGTGTTGAGTAACATCTGATAGCTGACATTAGAGAAGCCAATTTTTTTCTTTGCCATCCAGTTGGGCAAGTCAACTGACATCAACAGAAAAGCTCAAATGCTAGCATTCAGCAAGTTTGTTTGTAATGGAGATATTTTTTAACAGTTTTCATTTTGCAGACCACTTACACAAGGAACAAAAGGCCAAGACATTCTTTATGTTGACAGTTATTTAAGTTCTTATGATTTGTCATGTCTGAGGCCCACCCAGCCTGTATTGCCCATTTGCCACTAAAGGCTTAAAGTCAGTGAAATGCTGGTATATAATGATCTCCCTTCCTTTGTACCTGTAACAGTTAATAATGCAAAGAGAAGACTGTGCCACAGCTGAGGCAGTTAGCTCTGGCTTCTCACCACAAAGGCATGGGTTCAAGCCTAGGGTAGTATATGTGTGGTATTTGCTGTCAATAAATTGGCACTGGGCAGATTTTTGAAAAAAATATAAATAAATAAATAAATAAATTGAAAGTAACAGAAAATGAATCAACCAGCATTTACTTTCCTTGTGTGAATTTCATTCCACCATGATTCCATACTCTTGTATTATCTGACATGGTATGACTCGGCTATCTGATGCCAGGGGACTCACTGTTGCACTACTACTAGTAAGAACTAAGCTACAATGAAAACAAATGTAGTACACCCCCCCTTCCCCCATGAATTGTTCATTAGTTTAAAGTTTTTCCTCATTTAATGTTCAGTTTCAGTGTTATCGTTAAGAGTTTTGGTGAGACAATAGGAGACTCAGAATTACTGAATTTCTGGACTTTGTCTGTTACCTGGTATTCAAAATAAAACAAAACTGTGGCAGTGAGATCTGTTTCTGTCCTCAGGTGTAGGGATGGGAAGCAGCTATTCTGTTATGTTTGAAAGAGCTGAGCTCAGTGACTGGTTCAGTAATTCAGTTTCAGGGATCCGAAGTGAATGTTCTCACTGCTAACTTCAGTCATTCATCAGTAATCTGTCAGATGACAGGTCCACAGTCTCTTTCAAAACAATTCCTCCACTTAATGTGATCTAGAGCTTCCTCCTTCAAATGAGAATATCCTCTTCTGTGCCCAGGGTCATCCAGCACCTTCTTACGTCTTCTTCCTCGTCTTCTGGTTCGCATACATGGTGTCTCTGTTTTTGGAAAGAGACTATCCAGGAAAAGTGATAATGTGGTAGTTTTTCCATTTGCTTTCCACATCGCAGTACAGCAGCCGTTCAAACCACTTTGGTCATGCCTGTTGCTATACGAACTTGAACCATCTTGAGCATCATTTGCTCTGTGCCTCAAGTCACTGCTGATGACACTGCTTCCGGCATCACCGCTAACTTACCTCCCTTTAAATCCCTGCCAGTTTTGTCTTAAATCCACTGGCCCCATAAGAAGCCTTATGATTATAATTAGAACTTGTTCTATATGCAAAGTTGTTGGGACAGATAGCTGTCTCCTTGTCTGCAGTCTGTAATGAAAAACATTTTATTATAAAGCAACACACATCACTGTGAGTTGCACCGAACTGTGACAGAATTTCTATATACAATTATATTGATCCACAAGCTAGAAATGACTGAGGAATGTACAATGTAATTAAATATGATTACCCTGAACCATAAAAGTGCCAAATGTTGAAAATTTCGACCCTTACAAAAATTTCCATATGTGGTGGCATGGACATCTGTTGGCATTTAGTCTCAACTACATACACAAGAAACATTTGAAGGAAACTCTTCCCAACATTTCAAGCCCATAGTGAGTTTCTGATATATATATATATATATAATTTTCCTATGAATGAAGAATGGCTCCATCAAAATGGCTACTTGGCATTGTAGGAACTAAAGCTGGCACTTCTACGGTTTATTATTATTATTATTATTATTATTATTATTATTGCTATCATGATGAAGATCTGTACAAAGATTTAGAAGTTACAGGGAACCATTAAATTATTGGATTTAGAAGGCAGTGTTGTTTTTCTATGACAGCAACTTCAAACCTATAAAGCTATCCTGCTGATTTCCATGTCTTTGTGGTGTGTCTTGTTTGTTTTGCTTTATTTGCAGTTTATTTAATGATTTTGTCAGTAGCAGACTATGAAGTCTTGAATGATCAGATGACAGTAATAGTGAACTGGAAAAGTTGAAAGAAGAGAGTGGGGGTGGCATAATTTGATGTACTATCCCAGCATGTGGCTGGAGGAACTGAGAGTGTTAATACCTGAGCCACATAGTTGAGTGTGTGAGGTAACAAATGCCATGGCAGAGACTTTCTGTTTAATGCTTTTTCATATGGTAAGAGATTTCTTGTTGTAGAATCCTGACCCATGCCTCCTGAATCAAATGCAGCCACATATCATATCATATACGAGTATTACTAAGTTTATTAATTACAATTGATAATATAAATGTTATTACATGAATTAGTTCAGTATCCAATGAGTTCTAAAAATATCCACATGATTCATGGTCTCTAGACCGCCTCTGTGGTATAGTGGTCAGAGTTCCTGGTCGCAGATCCAGAGGTCCCTGGTTCGATTCTCGGCGCTACCAGATTTTTTGAGAAGTAGTGGGTCTGGAACGGGATCCACTCAGCCTCGTGAAGATAATTGAGGAGATATTTCAAGGAAATAGCAGCTCTGGTCTAGAAAACCGAGATTAACGGCCGTGGGGAACCGTTGCGCTGACCACGTGACACCCTCTATCCGCAAAAGTTGGCACTAACTTCGCCGACAAGCGGCGATCGCTCGGTCGGTATAGTTCGATTGCGGGATACAGGCCATGGAGTTCGTCATATTTGTATTATTTTACAATGCTGTCTGTATCTATAATATGTAGAATTGTAGAATGATAGATGAATCGGAAAGGAATTGGAAGGAGACGGTTATGACTTGGTTGGGATACTATTCCGTTATTTTTCTGGAGACACTAAGTAAAACCACATAATAACTTAGAATGGCCGGTGTCTTCCTGAGACGCGAACCGAACACCTCACGAATACAAATGTAGAGTGTTACCGTTACGCCAACCTGCTCGGTTTTGTAGTTTCAGGAGTAATTCTGAGCTGGAACAGGTTGGAACGTCTAGTTCATATAGGGAAAGGAGGGGTGGGAGGAGGAGGTTATGATTCCACATCTTCTGTTGCTGTTAATACAATCGTAACTTAATTATTTGCGTCATTATTACTGAGGACATTATATTTAAAATGTAAAGTTGTCCCTATGCTTAATTAAAGACCAAATCATGAAGACATATGGGGATTGGAAGTATAGCTCCGCGCATGACCCCTGAGGAAAGAGCCCCCTGTACCCATTGGTTGAGGCACCATGCTACACGCCGGAAAGTCACGGGTTCAGTTCCCAGTGAGGTCATTGGATTTTTCAATTTACCTCCTTCCAACCTCACTATGGCCCCGGGGTTGACTCAGCCTCTAACATGATTAACAGGAATCTTCCTGGGGGTAAAGGGCGGCCGCACGTAAGGCTGACAACTTCACCGCCATCTGTGAGCCGACTGTCTTAGACAATGTGCGTGCCTCGACGTCTTATGGGCCTCCACGGCGTGTTATACGGATGGCTTGGCGTGTGCCACAGCCGGTCAAGAAGTTGCGAAGAAGATAAAAATACGTACCCCTTGTGAGAAATCGAAACAGCTCGGGGTGTAGGCACTGCACTGACTACTCCGATAAGTGTTATTGTTTGGGCGTAATATTCTGTCTTATATTAAAGGAAAAGTAGATAAATGCTGTTAGACGAGGTTACTACTTACTAGGAACCAAGGGGGGAGGAAGTAAAGTGAAAAAGGAGAGAACGTTATAATTTGGCCTTCATAAGTGGTACTGTTCACTCAACATTTTTAGTATGATAAAATAGAATACGATGGATGGTGCATACATAACGCATGGTAGAAACGAGGAATGCATAGTGAGTTTTGGTTGGAAAACCCTAAAAGAAGAGACCACTTGCAAGACCCAGGAGTAGATGGGAGGATAATGTTAAAATCCATCTTAAATCGACAAGGTTTGTGGGTGTGGTCTGGATTCATTTGACCTAGGAGAGCAGTGGCGGGCTTTTGTTAATATGGTAATGAATGTTTGGGTTATATGCAAGGAGAATGGTTTTCTGGACCACTTAAGTTACTGTTAGTTTATGAACAATGGAATGTTTGAAAAACTTCGTGGCCTGTAGTCCGCAAGCAAACTATATCGACCGAGCGACCGCCGCTTGTTGGCGAAGTTAGTGCCAACTTTAGCGGATAGAGGATGTTGCGTGGTCAGCGCAACGGATACCCATTGCCGTTAATCTCGGTTTTCCAGACCGGAGCCGGTATATCCGTGAAATAGCTCCTCAATTATTCTCACGAGGCTGAGTGGACACCGTTACAGATCCACTACTTCTCAGAAAAATCTGTTAGCGTTGGGAATCGAACCCGGGCCTCTGGAGATATAGCCAGGAACTCTGACCAATAGACCATAGAGGCGACCCACAATGGAGTGTTAGATATATTAAATATAAATCGAGCGGGTTGGGCTAGTGGTAACGCACTAGATTCGCATTCGAGAGGTTCCAGGTTCAAATCTCGACTATGCTGACTGCGGTTTTGCTGGTTCTCTGTCCTTTCAGGCCATTTCCGGGACAGTATTCCGTATAGACGGCCGATCACTTCCTTAGAATTGACCACTCATCAATCACCCTACCATTCTAAGCTGTTTAGTCTAGATACTGACAGTGTCGTAAATAATTATTATTACTATTACGTTTTTATAACGTAGGCCTACTTACATTAGTTTAATAATATTAAATTGCCATGATCATGTGATCGTCATTTCTGGCGCTGATGTCTGTGGAGTGGGACGGCCAGTCGATGCTCCTGCCACCTGCAAGCAGGAAGGTGAGTGAGGTAGCCAAGCTGTGTCAGTCAGGTGCTTGTTGCGAAGTGGAAAGGAGCTGCAGATTGTTGTGTTGGGATGTGAATAGCGGGAAGGTCTCTGGCCGTTTAGACGATTACGCCGCAGTTAGTGTTCTAGCATTGCGGTTATGTGAAAACAATATAAAACTGAATAATTTCATCACGAAGAAAGTTTCTGTGCCTAAGAAAAGGACGTCACAAGAAAAATTCGGAGAACTTCACAGTACTGTGACCACTTAGGTTAGGTAAGTTTGTGTTTTGTCTAGTAATTACATGAAATATGAATTCCGGAACTGGTTATGGTGTTTATGTATCAGAATTGTTTGTATTAGGCCACATAAATGTTACTCATATTCACGGGCAGATTATGAGGTTTAGGTTGGAGTTATGTTATATAAGAATGTAACAGTCGTGTCAGTTTTCTACTTCCTGTAGGGGACGTAATATATGTTAAAAATTGACTCCATATTCTTACCAATATGTACGGTAGTGACAGCTGTTTAAGCGATGTGCAAGTGTTGCATTAGAGATTTTTGGATGCAGTTTGAACCTCTTTCCCAGTTTTTTGTTTTATATTACACGTGTAAACTGTAATTCTTTTAATTTGGTTTTTGTTCATTCTTTATGTGGTGTTGCATACGATAAACAGTGATACTGACAAACAAAGCAACCGCATACTTGACGAAGAACAAGTGTTTTTGCTTGTTAAATTCACAGCATAAGTTGCCTGTTAGGTCTGGAAATTATACATGAGCGAAATGATTTCTGTTAATGCCCACTAATAATAACAAAAAAACATATCAGGGCCAACCTATGGGGTATAAGTAGGTTGAAAAATCTAAAGCAGATTTTGCAAAACCTTACCGAGCGTGTTTGCTAGGGAGTAAGCCTCTAGATCCGTATTCGTGAGATCCTCGTTCGAAATCTGCCGAGACCCTGGTTATCTTTAGATTTTTCATGATGTTGGAGGCACGCGGTAGCGTAGTTAGTTGAGGCACTATGCTACAAGCCGGAAGGTTGCGGGATCGTATCCTTCCAGCTGCAATATGGCCCTGGGGTCGACTCAGTCTCTAGTAGAAATAAGTACCAGGAATATTCCTGGGAGTAAAGGGCGGCCGGCCCGTAAGGCTGACAACCTTACCGCAATCTGTGAGCCGAATGCCTAGAAAATGTGGGAGCCTCAACATCTCGCAACCTCATGGGCCTCCACGTCCTGTTATAGGGAAACCTTTACGTTTCTTTACTTACCCTCCAAACATGTTGGGATAGTACCTCTGTTAGACCACTACCGCTTCCTTCTAAATCCTTACCATTTCATGTCATCCGTCATTTGACACTTTATAATCTAGCTATTTACTGCTTCGTAAAATGAGCCACAGAAATACCTTATACCATAGGTCTTTAGCTCTTGAAAGGAAAATTGTACGAATCCACATAGCAGTGAAACGCATATATTAAGAATTAAATATGGAACCCATCTGTGTTAATCTAAGATCAAGGTAAAACGTAACCGAACTCGCTGAAGCATAGCGTAACTGAACAGAATTTGTTGACTTCAAGTGAATGTAGGCCGCGCCATAGCTCAAGCGGTTAGTCGCTGGCTTCCCACCGCGGCGGCTCGGGTTCAATCCCGGGTCTGGTCAAGTGCGATTTGTGGTNTGCGTTTTTCTGTGTTTGTGTACAGGTAGAGGCCTTGCGACGAGCTGATCACCCGCCCAAGGAGTCCAACCTAATGTGTAAGATCTAAAAAAAACGAAGTGAACGGAGAGGCTCATGGAGGTGGGCCTAGGTCCACTGGGGCTGTAGTGTGAAGGAAAAAAAAAAAGTGGCGCTGGGGCGCGTTTTCTCCGAGTACTTCGGTTTCCCCTACCAATCTTCATTCCACCAATTTCTCCATCATCATAATCACCCGGGGCAGGTACAATAGGCCAATCAGTGGCTGCCGTGCCGAGTGGACCCAACTAGACTCCATCCCCCCACTTAGCGAAATGACAAAGAAAAGTGAATTTATATTGTGACCAGTTTGCTTGCCACAGTCTCAACAATTTCTATGGGTTTTTGCTTGTTTTAACCTTTACTCTGCACGGAGTTTCGTAAAAGCAGTTTAGTACCGACAGTGACAATTCAGTGTATCTCGCGCAGTTGAAGCAACTTCCTGTTTCTCATAACATAACTTATTGCGGCAGCTGTAGAATGAAAATTGATTCCTTCAGAAGGTAGACGCATATGTTGAGGAAATATTTCGCGAAACCTTTGGGCTTCACGGACCACAGTTTTGGAACCTTACTAAAACGCATACTATAACTATACAAGCGTTTAGACGGGAAACCTGAGGAGGACAGACCACTTCTGAGATGTAGGTATAGCTAGGAGGATAATATTAAAATGTAATTTAACAAAATATGATATGAGGGTTGACTTCGATTATTATTTTTAAGGAGAGGGTCCCACGGCAATGATATTTATGATTCTATAAACGGCGGAAGAATTTTTGGCAAATTGAGCCACTATAATCTTCACAGTTAACCGATTTTTATGTGGTTAGGACATGTTCGAAATCAGAATTTATAGGCAGGGTGCGGGATTTATATTAATTAAATTCATTCATTTCAAATCTGTTTAGCGCAAACGTAAAACAGATAAAGTTATCAGTGGGTTCTAATTAATTAAGTACCACACCATGGAGATGTACTTGGGAGTGGAGGTATAGCTCCACCATTCGTAATCTCTGCACTAGATGGGAGTGGTGGTATTCACGCCCCGGTCTGTGTATCCCTGGGGAAACAATCCCCAGTGCCCGTTATACAGAAGGCTGGGTGGGACCCAAAGCTGGTGTAGACGTTATAGAGAAAAGAAATATTCCTTGCCTTTGTCGGGAATTAAACCCGAACTCCTCGACCATCCAGCCTGTAGTCTAGTCACTACACTGACCGTGCTATCCCGGTACATGCAGTAACGCTTCTAACTTGTGTTCAGCCGCGATACCAGCCATTTTACTGAGGTTTTCGTGGGTTTTCTCAGTCCCCCAAGTACATTTCCGGAATAGTGCTTTAAATTTGGCTACAACTGCTTTTTTTATTGCTAGTGGGGTGGGATTAAGTCCCTTGTACTGCGGCCACTTCTGGCCTATTGTACCAGCCCCAGATGATAGGTGAGGGTGATTGTGGAGCAATTGGTGGAATGAAGATTGGCAGGGGAAACCGAAGTACTCGGAGAAAACCTGCCCCAGCGCCACTTTGTCCACCACAAATCCCACTTGACCAGACCCGGGATCGAACCCGGGCAGCCGCGATGGGAAGCCAGCGACTAACCGCTTGAGCTATGGCGCGGCCTACAACTGCTTCCTTCAACATAATTTCCAATATTATATTTTAAATTATGCAATGAAATGTACACAGTTAATGACATTTTAAAATATTTAATAAACACTTTTTAGTGAATTAAATACATTTTAGTGTCTTTTTAAGAAAGGTTGGACTTTGTTTCATTACAGACGGGATACTATACAATTCAAAATTGTGCCCCAATGCAACAGAATTCTGAAATATAATATTCCAATAGTCTATCAGTGTTAGCCGATATTGAACAGGCTGGTGTAGCGGTCACTCTAGATTAGTACTCGGAAGGTCCTCGTTTTGAATCTCGACCGGGACACTGGTTAACCTGGCTCAAATCTTTCATGGTATTGCTCAGTACCTCCAGGTAAATGAGAGGGAAGTGCCTAGATTTTGCCACGACAATTTCCTTAGAAGCCCTTTCCAATCAGTCATGAACCACCCCATCACGAAACGCTCTAGAACTACGGACTAGTTACTGACAGCAGCCGGAATGTCGCGGGTTCAAGTCCCGATGAGGTCATTGGATTTTTTAGTTGATCTATCCTTCCAGCCGCACTAGGCCCTGGGGTTTACTCAGCCTCTAACAGAAATGAGTACCAGGAATTAATTAAATAATTTTCCTGGGGAGTAAAGCGCGGCCGGTGCGTAGGGCTGACAACCTTACCGCCATCTCTGAGCCGATTGTCTAGATAGTGTGGGACCCTAAATTTTTCACAACCCTACGGGCCTTCACGGCCTGGTACGAGGACAGCTTTACTTTACCGACTTACTATCGTACAGTAGTCTCCAGACAGAACCTCTGGCATCCAATCATTTGATGCTATTTGGTCTAAGTTACCGGTGATGTCGTTAAACAAGCTGAGAGGAACAATGAACAAATAAATGAATGAAACCATAAAATCATGAGCCAAGTTTTATGGCGTTTAAGTACGTTGAAAGGGTTCATGGTAGGTTCAATGGCTATAAATGAAATTAAACCATAATTTAGGGTCCGGTTGCAAGGTTTATGTTTCTCGTAATGGTCGGTCTTTTCATCCTTAAATTAAACCTGCGTGTAGGTGAGGTGTTGAGCTGGTGTCAGTGTTTTGTGTTGACGCATATAACAACCGAATTTAGAAACGGGTGTCGGCTTTATGGGCGTCCCCCCCTTTTTTTTTGCCTCCCCCCCTTTTTTTTGTTTCTCTCTTCGTTTTTTTTTTCTAAAGCGACGTAATAATATGGCGCGTTATATGATTTAGAACTTCCATATTTTACACGCATTTCCGAAAAATGCGTCAAAGGCTATTTTTTTTTCCTTGGCACTACAGCCCCAGTGGGCCTAGGCCTACCTCCATGAACTTCTCCGTTCACTTCTGTTTTTTTAGATCTTACACATTCGGTAGGACACCTTGGGTGGGTGATCAGCTCGTCGCAAGGCCTCTACCTGTACACAAACACAGAAAAACGCACACACACACAAACTAAACATCCGTACCCTGAGTGGGATTCGAACCCACGATCCCTGTTTCCAAGCGAGCGAAGACAGTACATGCCTTAGACCGCTCGGCTACTGTGACCGGCAGTGTATAAGAATAATATATAAGAATTCAGTTCGTACCTCACAGGAAACAGATCCGAACCCACGATCCCGGCTTCCAAGCGAGCGAAGACAGTACATGCCTTAGACCGCTCGGCTACCGTGACCGGCGTCAAAGCCTATGAGGGGGACGTATTTGGATCGGGTTAAAGATTGACCCCATTACCCATATAATTTGGAGGATCTAACAAAACGTTTAAAATTATTTATGAGGCAGATTTAGTTAACGCTTTGAAATCTGATATTCCTCGAAATAGCAGTTAAGCATTCAATTTCTGCTTCGGAACAGACCACTACGTCTCTATTACAAAGACCGTTAGGTTAATGTTGT